TCATTTGGCATTTGAAACCGACTCTTTCGTCTCTCATGTACTTTCTGTTTAGGCAACTGAGTGTTCTCTCTCGAGCACCCAAATCATATCTTTAAGACAGTTTGCTTAAAATTTCAGTTTCTTTTCCTCTTATAATAAAGAACTAAGTTCTTTCAACTTCCCAGCCTTTCCGTGAGTTTCATGAAGCCATCATTGCGTAACATACTTACTTCCATCCTTATCAATTTTACAATGCCATATTCCTCCACAATCGCAGCTAAACAATTGTAAACATTATGGTATTTTTTACCACGTATGTAATATTAATGTATTCTAAAACCAATTCACTACTTATTTACCATAAAAACATTCTTTCAAAAATCGTGCAATATTATTTACTTGTAGTAAACAAAATTATGCTGCGCGTATCTAGAAAAGAATTTTTAACAAAACAATTCTGTTTGAACAAACTCAGAAAACGTAAAATAAAATCCATGTAAGCAGAAATCAAGTAACAACTTTCAGTATGCAAATGATAATGGCGTTTATGATTCTGAATTAAAGAGGGTACTATTAAAAGGTTTAAAAGGGCAAAACTATGAGTCTGGTGGTCATTTTGAAAACGAGGTACAGTAAGACCCCGCTTAACGCGGGGATACGTTCCATCGAAGTAGAGCGTATGCGAAACAGCGCTATTATCGTAACATGTAAATAATGGGGTTAGGGGAAGACGGATAAAAAATGGTATCGTTGGCATTTGAAAAACGACTCTTAGTCGTCTCTAATGTACTTTCTGTTAAGGCAACTGAGTGTTATCTCTCGAGCACCAGAAATCAGTATCGTGTAAATACAGTTTGCTTAAAATTTCAGTTTCTTTTCTTGCTCTTATAATAAAGAAAGCTAAGTCTGTTTCAACTTACCCACGCACTTTCCGTGGAGTTCAATGAAGCCATCATTGCAGTAACATACTTTACTTCCATCCTTATCAATTTTACAATTGCCATATTCTCCACAATCGCAAGCTAAAACAATTGTAAACATTATGGTAAAGTTTTTATCAACATATGTATAAGTTAAATGTATTCTGAAAACCAATTTCACTACTTATTTACCAATAAAACACATTCTTTTCAAAAATCGTGCAATATTATTTACTTGTAGTAAAACAAATTATGCTGCGCGTAGTCTAGAAAAGAATTTTTAACAAAACAATTCTGTTTGAACAAACTCAAAGAAAACGTAAAATAAAATGCCATGTAAGCAGAAATCAAGTAACAACTTTCAGTATGCAAATGATGAATGGGCGTTTATGATTCTGAATTAAAGAGGGTACTATTAAAAGGGTTTAAAAGGCAAAACTATGAGTCTGGTGGTCATTTTGAAAACGAGGTACAGTAAGACCCCGCTTAACGCGGGGGATACGTTCCATCGAGTAGAGCGTAATGCGAACAGCGCTAACGAGGCTATCTTAACATGTAAATAATGGGTTAGGGGAAGACGGATAAAAAATGGTTATCATTGGCATTTGAAAAACGACTCTTAGTCGTCTCTAATGTACTTTCTGTTAAGGCAACTGAGTGTTATCTCTCGAGCAGCAGAAATCAGTATCTGTGTAAAGACAGTTTGCTTAAAATTTCAGTTTCTTTCTTGCTCTTATAATAAAGAAAGCTAAGTTCTGTTTCAACTTACCCACGCACTTTCCGTGGAGTTCAATGAAGCCATCATTGCAGTAACATACTTTACTTCCATCCTTATCAATTTTACAATTGCCATATTCTCCACAATCGCAAGCTAAAACAATTGTAAACATTATGGTAAAGTTTTTATCAACATATGTATAAGTTGAATGTATTCTGAAAACCAATTCACTACTTATTTACCAATAAAAATCATTCTTTCAAAAATCGTGCAATATTATTTACTTGTAGTAAAACAAAATTATGCTGCGCGTAGTCTAGAAAAGAATTTTTAACAAAACAATTCTGTTTGAACAAACTCAAAGGAAAACGTAAAATAAAATGCCATGTAAGCAGAAATCAAGTAACAACTTTCAGTATGCAAATGATGAATGGGCGTTTATGATTCTGAATTAAAGAGGGTACTATTAAAAGGGTTTTAAAAGGGCAAAACTATGAGTCTGGTGGTCATTTTGAAAACGAGGTACAGTAAGACCCCGCTTAACGCGGGGGATACGTTCCATCGAAGTAGAGCGTAATGCGAAACACGCGATTATCTTAACATGTAAATAATGGGTTAGGGGAAGACGGATAAAAAATGGTTATCGTTGGCATTTGAAAACGACTCTTAGTCGTCTCTAATGTACTTTCTGTTAAGGCAACTGAGTGTTATCTCTCGAGCACCAGAAATCAGTATCTGTGTAAAGACAGTTTGCTTAAAATTTCAGTTTCTTTTCTTGCTCTTATAATAAAGAAAGCTAAGTTCTGTTTCAACTTACCCACGCACTTTCCGTGGAGTTCAATGAAGCCATCATTGCAGTAACATACTTTACTTCCATCCTTATCAATTTTACAATTGTCATATTCTCCACAATCGCAAGCTAAAACAATTATGGTAAAGGTTTTATCAACATATGTATAAGTTGAATGTATTCTGAAAACCAATTCACTACTTATTTACCAATAAAAACACATTCTTTCAAAATCGTGCAATATTATTTACTTGTAGTAAAACAAAATTATGCTGCGCGTAGTCTAGAAAAGAATTTTTAACAAAACAATTCTGTTTGAACAAACTCAAAGGAAAACGTAAAATAAAATGCCATGTAAGCAGAAATCAAGTAACAACTTTCAGTATGCAAATGATGAATGGGCGTTTATGATTCTGAATTAAAGAGGGTACTATTAAAAGGTTTTAAAAGGGCAAAACTATGAGTCTGGTGGTCATTTTGAAAACGAGGTACAGTAAGACCCCGCTTAACGGGGGATACGTTCCATCGAAGTAGAGCGTAATGCGAAACAGCGCTATTATCTTAACATGTAAATAATGGGGTTAGGGGAAAGACGGATAAAAAATGGTTATCATTGGCATTTGAAAAACGACTCTTAGTCGTCTCTAATGTACTTTCTGTTAAGGCAACTGAGTGTTATCTCTCGAGCACCAGAAATCAGTATCTGTGTAAAGACAGTTTGCTTAAAATTTCAGTTTCTTTTCTTGCTCTTATAATAAAGAAAGCTAAGTTCTGTTTCAACTTACCCACGCACTTTCCGGTGAGTTCAATGAAGCCATCATTGCAGTAACATACTTACTTCCATCCTTATCAATTTTACAATTGCCATATTCTCCACAATCGCAAGCTAAAACAATTGTAAACATTATGGTAAAGTTTTTATCAACATATGTATAAGTTGAATGTATTCTGAAAAACCAATTCACTACTTATTTACCAATAAAACACATTCTTTCAAAAATCGTGCAATATTATTTACTTGTAGTAAAACAAAATTATGCTGCGCGTAGTCTAGAAAAGAATTTTTAACAAAACAATTCTGTTTGAACAAACTCAAAGGAAAACGTAAAATAAAATGCCATGTAAGCAGAAATCAAGTAACAACTTTCAGTATGCAAATGATGAATGGGCGTTTATGATTCTGAATTAAAGAGGGTACTATTAAAAGGGTTTAAAAGGGCAAAACTATGAGTCTGGTGGTCATTTTGAAAACGAGGTACAGTAGTAAGACCCCGCTTAACGCGGGGGATACGTTCCATCGAAGTAGAGCGTAATGCGAAACAGCGCTATTATCTTAACATGTAAATAATGGGGTTAGGGGAAGACGGATAAAAAATGGTTATCGTTGGCATTTGAAAAACGACTCTTAGTCGTCTCTAATGTACTTTCTGTTAAGGCAACTGAGTGTTATCTCTCGAGCACCAGAAATCAGTATCTGTGTAAAGACAGTTTTGCTTAAAATTTCAGTTTCTTTTCTTGCTCTTATAATAAAGAAAGCTAAGTTCTGTTTCAACTTACCCACGCACTTTCCGTGGAGTTCAATGAAGCCATCATTGCAGTAACATACTTTACTTCCATCCTTATCAATTTTACAATTGCCATATTCTCCACAATCGCAAGCTAAAACAATTGTAAACATTATGGTAAAGTTTTTATCAACATATGTATAAGTTGAATGTATTCTGAAAACCAATTCACTACTTATTTACCAATAAAACACATTCTTTCAAAAATCGTGCAATATTATTTACTTGTAGTAAAACAAAATTATGCTGCGCGTAGTCTAGAAAAGAATTTTTAACAAAACAATTCTGTTTGAACAAACTCAAAGGAAAACGTAAAATAAAATGCCATGTAAGCAGAAATCAAGTAACAACTTTCAGTATGCAAATGATGAATGGGCGTTTATGATTCTGAATTAAAGAGGGTACTATTAAAAGGGTTTAAAAGGGCAAAACTATGAGTCTGGTGGTCATTTTGAAAACGAGGTACAGTAAGACCCCGCTTAACGCGGGGGATACGTTCCATCGAAGTAGAGCGTAATGCGAAACAGCGCTATTATCTTAACATGTAAATAATGGGGTTAGGGGAAGACGGATAAAAAATGGTTATCGTTGGCATTTGAAAAACGACTCTTAGTCGTCTCTAATGTACTTTCTGTTAAGGCAACTGAGTGTTATCTCTCGAGCACCAGAAATCAGTATCTGTGTAAAGACAGTTTGCTTAAAATTTCAGTTTCTTTTCTTCCTCTTATAATAAAGAAAGCTAAGTTCTGTTTCAACTTACCCACGCACTTTCCGTGGAGTTCAATGAAGCCATCATTGCAGTAACATACTTTACTTCCATCCTTATCAATTTTTACAATTGCCATATTCTCCACAATCGCAAGCTAAAACAATTGTAAACATTATGGTAAAGTTTTTATCAACGTATGTATAAGTTAAATGTATTCTGAAAACCAATTCACTACTTATTTACCAATAAAAAACATTCTTTCAAAAATCGTGCAATATTATTTACTTGTAGTAAAACAAAATTATGCTGCGCGTAGTCTAGAAAAGAATTTTTAACAAAACAATTCTGTTTGAACAAACTCAAAGGAAAACGTAAAATAAAATGCCATGTAAGCAGAAATCAAGTAACAACTTTCAGTATGCAAATGATGAATGGGCGTTTATGATTCTGAATTAAAGAGGGTACTATTAAAAGGGTTTAAAAGGGCAAAACTATGAGTCTGGTGGTCATTTTGAAAACGAGGTACAGTAAGACCCCGCTTAACGCGGGGGATACGTTCCATCGAAGTAGAGCGTAATGCGAAACAGCGCTATAGGCTATCTTAACATGTAAATAATGGGGTTAGGGGAAGACGGATAAAAAATGGTTATCGTTGGCATTTGAAAAAACGACTCTTAGTCGTCTCTAATGTACTTTCTGTTAAGGCAACTGAGTGTTATCTCTCGAGCACCAGAAATCAGTATCTGTGTAAAGACAGTTTGCTTAAAATTTCAGTTTCTTTTCTTGCTCTTATAATAAAGAAAGCTAAGTTCTGTTTCAACTTACCCACGCACTTTCCGTGGAGTTCAATGAAGCCATCATTGCAGTAACATACTTTACTTCCATCCTTATCAATTTTACAATTGCCATATTCTCCACAATCGCAAGCTAAAACAATTGTAAACATTATGGTAAAGTTTTATCAACATATGTATAAGTTGAATGTATTCTGAAAACCAATTCACTACTTATTTACCAATAAAAAACATTCTTTCAAAAATCGTGCAATATTATTTACTTGTAGTAAAACAAAATTATGCTGCGCGTAGTCTAGAAAAGAATTTTTAACAAAACAATTCTGTTTGAACAAACTCAAAGGAAAACGTAAAATAAAATGCCATGTAAGCAGAAATCAAGTAACAACTTTCAGTATGCAAATGATGAATGGGCGTTTATGATTCTGAATTAAAGAGGGTACTATTAAAAGGGTTTAAAAGGGCAAAACTATGAGTCTGGTGGTCATTTTGAAAACGAGGTACAGTAAGACCCCGCTTAACGCGGGGGATACGTTCCATCGAAGTAGAGCGTAATGCGAAACAGCGCTATTATCTTAACATGTAAATAATGGGGTTAGGGGAAGACGGATAAAAAATGGTTATCGTTGGCATTTGAAAAACGACTCTTAGTCGTCTCTAATGTACTTTCTGTTAAGGCAACTGAGTGTTATCTCTCGAGCACCAGAAATCAGTATCTGTGTAAAGACAGTTTGCTTAAAATTTCAGTTTCTTTTCTTGCTCTTATAATAAAGAAAGCTAAGTTCTGTTTCAACTTACCCACGCACTTTCCGTGGAGTTCAATGAAGCCATCATTGCAGTAACATACTTTACTTCCATCCTTATCAATTTTACAATTGCCATATTCTCCACAATCGCAAGCTAAAACAATTGTAAACATTATGGTAAAGTTTTTATCAACATATGTATAAGTTGAATGTATTCTGAAAACCAATTCACTACTTATTTACCAATAAAAAACATTCTTTCAAAAATCGTGCAATATTATTTACTTGTAGTAAAACAAAATTATGCTGCGCGTAGTCTAGAAAAGAATTTTTAACAAAACAATTCTGTTTGAACAAACTCAAAGGAAAACGTAAAATAAAATGCCATGTAAGCAGAAATCAAGTAACAACTTTCAGTATGCAAATGATGAATGGGCGTTTATGATTCTGAATTAAAGAGGGTACTATTAAAAGGGTTTAAAAGGGCAAAACTATGAGTCTGGTGGTCATTTTGAAAACGAGGTACAGTAAGACCCGCTTAACGCGGGGGATACGTTCCATCGAAGTAGAGCGTAATGCGAAACAGCGCTATTATCTTAACATGTAAATAATGGGGTTAGGGGAAGACGGATAAAAAATGGTTATCGTTGGCATTTGAAAAACGACTCTTAGTCGTCTCTAATGTACTTTCTGTTAAGGCAACTGAGTGTTATCTCTCGAGCACCAGAAATCAGTATCTGTGTAAAGACAGTTTGCTTAAAATTTCAGTTTCTTTTCTTGCTCTTATAATAAAGAAAGCTAAGTTCTGTTTCAACTTACCCACGCACTTTCCGTGGAGTTCAATGAAGCCATCATTGCAGTAACATACTTTACTTCCATCCATTTTACAATTGCCATATTCTACTAAAACAATTGTAAACATTATGGTAAAGGTTTTTATCAACATATGTATAAGTTGAATGTATTCTGAAAACCAATTCACTACTTATTTACCAATAAAACACATTCTTTCAAAAATCGTGCAATATTATTTACTTGTAGTAAAACAAAATTATGCTGCGCGTAGTCTAGAAAAGAATTTTTAACAAAACAATTCTGTTTGAACAAACTCAAAGGAAAACGTAAAATAAAATGCCATGTAAGCAGAAATCAAGTAACAACTTTCAGTATGCAAATGATGAATGGGCGTTTATGATTCTGAATTAAAGAGGGGTACTATTAAAAGGGTTTAAAAGGGCAAAACTATGAGTCTGGTGGTCATTTTGAAAACGAGGTACAGTAAGACCCCGCTTAACGCGGGGGATACGTTCCATCGAAGTAGAGCGTAATGCGAAACAGCGCTAGCGATTATCTTAACATGTAAATAATGGGGTTAGGGGAAGACGGATAAAAAATGGTTATCATTGGCATTTGAAAAACGACTCTTAGTCGTCTCTAATGTACTTTCTGTTAAGGCAACTGAGTGTTATCTCTCGAGCACCAGAAATCAGTATCTGTGTAAAGACAGTTTGCTTAAAATTTCAGTTTCTTTTCTTGCTCTTATAATAAAGAAAGCTAAGTTCTGTTTCAACTTACCCACGCACTTTCCGTGGAGTTCAATGAAGCCATCATTGCAGTAACATACTTTACTTCCATCCTTATCAATTTTACAATTGCCATATTCTCCACAATCGCAAGCTAAAACAATTGTAAACATTATGGTAAATTTTTTATCAACATATGTATAAGTTGAATGTATTCTGAAAACCAATTCACTACTTATTTACCAATAAAAAACATTCTTTCAAAAATCGTGCAATATTATTTACTTGTAGTAAAACAAAATTATGCTGCGCGTAGTCTAGAAAAGAATTTTTAACAAAACAATTCTGTTTGAACAAACTCAAAGGAAAACGTAAAATAAAATGCCATGTAAGCAGAAATCAAGTAACAACTTTCAGTATGCCAAATGATGAATGGCGCGTTTATGATTCTGAATTATTAAAAGGGAGGGTACTATTAAAAGGGCAAAACTATGAGTCTGGTGGTCATTTTGAAAACGAGGTACAGTAAGACCCCGCTTAACGCGGGGGATACGTTCCATCGAAGTAGAGCGTAATGGCGAAACAGCGCTAAGCGAGGCTATCTTAACATGTAAATAATGGGGTTAGGGGAAGACGGATAAAAAATGGTTATCATTGGCATTTGAAAAACGACTCTTAGTCGTCTCTAATGTACTTTCTGTTAAGGCAACTGAGTGTTATCTCTCGAGCACCAGAAATCAGTATCTGTGTAAAGACAGTTTGCTTAAAATTTCAGTTTCTTTTCTTGCTCTTATAATAAAGAAAGCTAAGTTCTGTTTCAACTTACCCACGCACTTTCCGTGGAGTTCAATGAAGCCATCATTGCAGTAGTAACATACTTTACTTCCATCCTTATCAATTTTACAATTGCCATATTCTCCACAATCGCAAGCTAAAACAATCGTAAACATTATGGTAAAGGTTTATCAACATATGTATAAGTTGAATGTATTCTGAAAACCAATTCACTACTTATTTACCAATAAAACACATTCTTTCAAAAATCGTGCAATATTATTTACTTGTAGTAAAACAAAATTATGCTGCGCGTAGTCTAGAAAAGAATTTTAACAAAACAATTCTGTTTGAACAAACTCAAAGGAAAACGTAAAATAAAATGCCATGTAAGCAGAAATCAAGTAACAACTTTCAGTATGCAAATGATGAATGGGCGTTATGATTCTGAATTAAAGAGGGTACTATTAAAAGGGTTTTTAAAAGGGCAAAACTATGAGTCTGGTGGTCATTTGAAAACGAGGTACAGTAAGACCCCGCTTAAACGCGGGGGATACGTTCCATCGAAGTAGAGCGTAATGCGAAACAGCGCTAAGCGAGGCTATCTTAACATGTAAATAATGGGGTTAGGGAAAGACGGATAAAAAATGGTTATCATTGGCATTTGAAAAACGACTCTTAGTCGTCTCTAATGTACTTTCTGTTAAGGCAACTGAGTGTTATCTCTCGAGCACCAGAAATCAGTATCTGTGTAAAGACAGTTTGCTTAAAATTTCAGTTTCTTTTCTTGCTCTTATAATAAAGAAAGCTAAGTTCTGTTTCAACTTACCTATGCACTTTCCGTGGAGTTCAATGAAGCCATCATTGCAGTAACATACTTTACTTCCATCCTTATCAATTTTACAATTGCCATATTCTCCACAATCGCAAGCTAAAACAATTGTAAACATTATGGTAAAGGTTTTATCAACATATGTATAAGTTGAATGTATTCTGAAAACCAATTCACTACTTATTTACCAATAAAACACATTCTTTCAAAAATCGTGCAATATTATTTACTTGTAGTAAAACAAAATTATGCTGCGCGTAGTCTAGAAAAGAATTTTTAACAAAACAATTCTGTTTGAACAAACTCAAAGGAAAACGTAAAATAAAATGCCATGTAAGCAGAAATCAAGTAACAACTTTCAGTATGCAAATGATGAATGCGCGTTTATGATTCTGAATTAAAGAGGGTACCATTAAAAGGGCAAAACTATGAGTCTGGTGGTCATTTTGAAAACGAGGTACAGTAAGACCCCGCTTAACGCGGGGGATACGTTCCATCGAAGTAGAGCGTAATGCGAAACAGCGCTAAGCGAGGCTATCTTAACATGTAAATAATGGGGTTAGGGGAAGACGGATAAAAAATGGTTATCATTGGCATTTGAAAAACGACTCTTAGTCGTCTCTAATGTACTTTCTGTTAAGGCAACTGAGTGTTATCTCTCGAGCACCAGAAATCAGTATCTGTGTAAAGACAGTTTGCTTAAAATTTCAGTTTCTTTTCTTGCTCTTATAATAAAGAAAGCTAAGTTCTGTTTCAACTTACCCACGCACTTTCCGTGGAGTTCAATGTTCAATGAAGCCATCATTGCAGTAACATACTTTACTTCCATCCTTATCAATTTTACAATTGCCATATTCTCCACAATCGCAAGCTAAAACAATTGTAAACATTATGGTAAAGGTTTTATCAACATATGTATAAGTTGAATGTATTCTGAAAACCAATTCACTACTTATTTACCAATAAAAAAAACATTCTTTCAAAAATCGTGCAATATTATTTACTGTGTAGTAAAACAAAATTATGCTGCGCGTAGTCTAGAAAAGAATTTTTAACAAAAACAATTCTGTTTGAACAAACTCAAAGGAAAACGTAAAATAAAATGCCATGTAAGCAGAAATCAAGTAACAACTTTCAGTATGCAAATGATGAATGGGCGTTTATGATTCTGAATTAAAGAGGGTACTATTAAAAGGGTTTAAAAGGGCAAAACTATGAGTCTGGTGGTCATTTTGAAAACGAGGTACAGTAAGACCCCGCTTAACGCGGGGGATACGTTCCATCGAAGTAGAGCGTAATGCGAAACAGCGCTAAGCGAGGCTATCTTAACATGTAAATAATGGGGTTAGGGGAGGACGGATAAAAAATGGTTATCATTGGCATTTGAAAAACGACTCTTAGTCGTCTCTAATGTACTTTCTGTTAAGGCAACTGAGTGTTAACTCTCGAGCACCAGAAATCAGTATCTGTATAAAGACAGTTTGCTTAAAATTTCAGTTTCTTTTCTTGCTCTTATAATAAAGAAAGCTAAGTTCTGTTTCAACGTTCCCACGCACTTTCCGTGAAGTTCAATGAAGCCATCATTGCAGGAACATACTTTACTTCCATCCTTATCAATTTTACAATTGCCATATTCTCCACAATCGCAAGCTAAAACAATTGTAAACATTATGGTAAAGTTTTTGTCAACATATGTATAAGTTGAATGTATTCTGAAAACCAATTCATTACTTATTTACCAAATAAAACACATTCTTTCAAAAATCGTGCAATATTATTTAACTTGGTAGTAAAACAAAATTATGCTGCGCGTAGTCTAGAAAAGAATTTTTAACAAAAACAATTCTGTTTGAACAAACTCAAAGGAAAACGTAAAATAAAATGCCATGTAAGCAGAAATCAAGTAACAACTTTCAGTATGCAAATGATGAATGGGCGTTTATGATTCTGAATTAAAGAGGGTACTATTAAAAGGGTTTTTAAAAGGGCAAAACTATGAGTCTGGTGGTCATTTTCGAAAACGAGGTACAGTAAGACCCCGCTTAACGCGGGGGATACGTTCCATCGAAGTAGAGCGTAATGCGAAACAGCGCTATTATCTTAACATGTAAATAATGGGGTTAGGGGAAGACGGATAAAAAATGGTTATCATTGGCATTTGAAAAACGACTCTTAGTCGTCTCTAATGTACTTTCTGTTAAGGCAACTGAGTGTTATCTCTCGAGCACCAGAAATCAGTATCTGTGTAAAGACAGTTTGCTTAAAATTTCAGTTTCTTTTCTTGCTCTTATAATAAAGAAAGCTAAGTTCTGTTTCAACTTACCCACGCACTTTCCGTGGAGTTCAATGAAGCCATCACTGCAGTAACATACTTTACTTCCATCCTTATCAATTTTACAATTGCCATATTCTCAAAAATCGCAAGCTAAAACAATCGTAAACATTATGGTAAAGTGTTTATCAACATATGTATAAGTTGAATGTATTCTGAAAACCAATTCACTACTTATTTACCAATAAAAACACATTCTTTCAAAAATCGTGCAATATTATTTACTTGTAGTTAAAAACAAAATTATGCTGCGCGTAGTCTAGAAAAGAATTTTTAACAAAACAATTCTGTTTGAACAAACTCAAAGGAAAACGTAAAATAAAATGCCATGTAAGCAGAAATCAAGTAACAACTTTCAGTATGCAAATGATGAATGGGCGTTTATGATTCTGAATTAAAGAGGGTACTACTATTAAAAGGTGTTTTAAAAGGGCAAAACTATGAGTCTGGTGGTCATTTTGAAAACGAGGTACAGTAAGACCCCGCTTAACGCGGGGGATACGTTCCATCGAAGTAGAGCGTAATGCGAAACAGCGCTATTATCTTAACATGTAAATAATGGGGTTAGGGGAAGACGGATAAAAAATGGTTATCATTGGCATTTGAAAAACGACTCTTAGTCGTCTCTAATGTACTTTCTGTTAAGGCAACTGAGTGTTATCTCTCGAGCACCAGAAATCAGTATCTGTGTAAAGACAGTTTGCTTAAAATTTCAGTTTCTTTTCTTGCTCTTATAATAAAGAAAGCTAAGTTCTGTTTCAAACTTCCCACGCACTTTCGTGGAGTTCAATGAAGCCATCATTGCAGGAACATACTTTACTTCCATCCTTATCAATTTTACAATTGCCATATTCTCCACAATCGCAAGCTAAAACAATTGTAAACATTATGGTAAAGTTTTTGTCAACATATGTATAAGTTGAATGTATTCTGCAAACCAATTCATTACTTATTTACCAATAAAACACATTCTTTCAAAAATCGTGCAATATTATTTACTGGTAGTAAAACAAAATTATGCTGCGCGTAGTCTACAAAAGAATTTTTAACAAAACAATTCTGTTTGAACAAACTCAAAGGAAAACGTAAAATAAAATGCCATGTAAGCAGAAATCAAGTAACAACTTTCAGTATGCAAATGATGAATGGGCGTTTATGATTCTGAATTAAAGAGGGTACTATTAAAAGGGTTTAAAAGGGCAAAACTATGAGTCTGGTGGTCATTCGAAAACGAGGTACAGTAAGACCCCGCTTAACGCGGGGGATACGTTCCATCGAAGTAGAGCGTAATGCGAAACAGCGCTATTATCTTAACATGTAAATAATGGGGTTAGGGGAAGACGGATAAAAAATGGTTATCGTTGGCATTTGAAAAACGATTCTTAGTCGTCTCTAATGTACTTTCTGTTAAGGCAACTGAGTGTTATCTCTCGAGCACCAGAAATCAGTATCTGTGTAAAGACAGTTTGCTTAAAATTTCAGTTTCTTTTCTTGCTCTTATCATAAAGAAAGCTAAGTTCTGTTTCAACTTACCCACGCACTTTCCGTGGAGTTCAATGAAGCCATCATTGCAGTAAGTAACATACTTACTTCCATCCTTATCAATTTTACAATTGCCATATTCTCCCACAATCGCAAGCTAAAACAATTGTAAACATTATGGTAAAGTTTTTATCAACATATGTATAAGTTGAATGTATTCTGAAAACCAATTCACTACTTATTTACCAATAAAAACACATTCTTTCAAAAAATCGTGCAATATTATTTGCTTGTAGTAAAACAAAATTATGCTGCGCGTAGTCTAGAAAAGAATTTTAACAAAAACAATTCTGTTTGAACAACAACTCAAAGGAAAACGTAAAATAAAATGCCATGTAAGCAGAAATCAAGTAACAACTTTCAGTATGCAAATGATGAATGGGCGTTTATGATCTGAATTAAAGAGGGTACTATAAAAGGGTTTTAAAAAGGGCAAAAACTAAGAGTCTGGTGGTCATTTTGTAAACGACGGGTACAGTAAGACCCCGCTTAACGCGTGGGATACGTTCCATCGAAGTAGAGCGTAATGCGAAACAGCGCTAAGCGAGGCTATCTTAACATGTAAATAATGGGGTTAGGGGAAAGATGGATAAAAAATGGTTATCATTGGCATTTGAAAACGACTCTTAGTCGTCTCTAATGTACTTTCTGTTAAGGCAATGTGTGTTATCTCTCGAGCACCAGAAATCAGTATCTGTGTAAAATTAAAATTTCAGTTTCTTTTCTGTCCTATAATAAAGAAAGAAATTTAGCTCTGTTATAATAAATAATTAAATTTATAATGTTTTTTAATAAAAATAAAATCAAACATTTATTTCTTACAAAAATAAAAACAATATATAAACGCATATACTTTTAAAAACAAATAAATTCTCAGTCAGATCATTCAGTCTATTCTGGGTTTCCAATTTTCTGCCTTTTTGTCAAGAAGGCATTATGATAGATTGGCTTAATGGCATATTGCGTTCAATTTCGTCGTCAATCCATATAGACAGTCGTTTTTCCATTTCCTCTATAATGTTATTTCTAGAACGGGTAATTCTAGTTGCAGAGCTTGACGTAGTTGCAGTTGCCGATGACAGTATTTTTTCTTTATTCTTAAGAATTGTCCTTATTGTTGAAGTTGCCAAAATCAATGCAGCACTAATTTGAGATTGACGTTCACCAGAATCTAATCTTCTAATCACTTGCATTTGAGTTTCCAGTGAAATGCTTTTTCTGGTTGCTTTCTTTTCTTGTTTTTTATTATCACCCATGATAAAAACTAAAGATCATAATATTTGTCACTGTATTAATCGTTATAGTATTATACAAATTTAAACTTACAATAATGTCAACAAATGTTTCAAATGATAAAAATGCGTCCACCAAGCAAGAAACACAACTACACTGTTTCGGATATGTTATTTGGAAACCTAGCGCTGCGCACAATTTCGGAGAATCCCCGGGTTGAAATAAAAGAGCGCTAAACTGAAACAGCGCTAAACGAAACAGCGTTAAGCGGGGTCTTACTGTACTAAAGTGGATTGTTTATCATCGATATGTTTTCAAATTCGCGTGACATTAGAGTTACACCTACAAATCAGAAAACATTAATTTTTTGTCTTTTCTACATTATCGCGGATACGTATGTGTAGCAACCGCATTTGGGGATATCTGAGGTGTCGGAAATAGCACGATATCTTTCATGCTTAACGTCGTATCACTAATATGTTTCTTGGTTCGTCGAGTATGGAGCTGTAGTGAAATTCGTGAGTCAGTGCATTTCTGTATCTTTATTATTTGATAAAGGAATTTATGAAGCTTACAAGCGCGTAGCTAACTTAACTAAAAGCAAAAATTATCGTGAGTTACAATTCTGCTGATTGCGCTCAGTTGGAACTTTTTAAATCCATATTAATTAATGTAATGTCTTAAATTTCGGATATTCTTACTAACATTTTTGTAGTTTGTGTAGAGAAAGATATTGATGCTTTTATTGAAGATTAGTAAGATATGCAAGATACTGCTGATGAGTTATTTTTAATAGTAACCAGAGTTAATGTTAAAGCTATGGCTAAATCTTGTGGAGGCTGAATCTTGTGAAATAGCGAGCATTCGCTTAGCTAACTCTTCCTATATTTAACGGTAGTGCTGAAGAATTGTTATCCTTCAGTGACTTATTTAAAACGGCGATAGTGGATATCGATCGGTTATCGTGTGCACAAAAGCTACAACACTTAAAAGGAGCTTCATTAAGGATTGTTCAAGCTTTAACTATTTGCGATAGAAATTTTGAAATTGCATGGAAATCACTGTGTCAAAGATTTTTCACGTAAGAGAGATTTACGTTCATCGTTGTTAAAGAAAATCTTATATTTATCAAATTTACAAACTGAAAATCCTAGTCAAGTTTTGGCGTCCGTAGATAAAGAATATGTATGTTCATTTGAATTTGAGAATTTTGGGTTCAAAGCTGAAGAATTCGTGAATACTATTTTGATGTTAATAGTACAATTTAAATTAGATTCTTTTACGAGAGGATGATAGGAAAGAACGTTAAAGCGAGAAGAAATACCAACCCTTAATGACGTGTTAGAATTCTTAAAATCTCATACAAGAAACTTTGAAGCAGGTAAGCATACTCTGAAAGCAGATAAGCAACAAAGTGTTAAGAAACAAACTGTGAAAGACAACCTCATTGGAAATTCACGCTCAGTGTACGCATTGTAAAGCCAGTCATTCAGTATTAAAATGTAATAAGTTTTTACATCTGAATGTTCAGGAACGTGTTCATGTTGTCAAGAAAATTAATCTGTGTTTTAATTGTTTAGTTTCAAATCATAAGCTTTCGAGAGCAGAAGAATTCGTAAATCTAAAAAGTATTTTAAAAATCATCAGAGATTACATCATTTCTAAAGAGTTCAAAAGGAGCCAAAAACGCCTAAAGGAGTTAAGAACATTTCGAACGAATTATCGGTGACGACCAAGTCATTTTTCCTCGGAACAGAACTTCGTATTCAATCGACTAAGTAGGGAAGGATTTCATGAATCCAGTAATTAAATTGTGTGTATCAGACTTTACTTTTCAACGTAAAGTTTTATTATGCATGGCTGTTATTAAAGTGTTAGATTCATCTGGTGAATACCAATTGTGTAGAGCAAGGATGTCAAACTCGCGGCCCGCGGGCCGCATGCGGCCCACAACAAATTTTTGCGGCCCCGCCAATATATCGGCAAATAATAATATATAATAATAAAAATAACATATCGACGAAGAAAAAAAGAAATCTTTACTGCTAAGTAATTAACGATAATTTATTCAGTGTTGTTAGATTACTCACAGCGAGCTGACACACACACTACTTAAATTACAAATGCGTGTGAGTAGCTTGCTTTCACCTACCTTCGGCTTTTGGGGGACACGTGCACTCAGAACTTGTACGCATGTGCATGCACTTTGCTTATTATTAATTATTACTTAATTTATATTGTTAGGATTTCATAGTTATTTATTTAGTTAGTTTTTTTTTTTAATTTAGAATTGTAATTAGATTTGCTTCATGTGCCTTAGCAACGCAGACGATTTTTGAAAAGACAGCTGCGTTGGAAGGTTAAAAATAGAACAGGGCGTGCATTTAATACCTAATAAATAAATATCTCGTAATGTTGTTGCCATCCACAAAAATACAGATATTTATAGATGTTTCCAGTATATTCGAGAAATTAATTATAAAGCTTATAAAAGCGAGAACAAACAACTCATCTCAGTAGTAGCTGTAGTTCTAGCGAACTGTTTGTTTACTTAATGCTGTGATGATTTGTAGCGTTTTCGCTGTGAGATAGAATGAGTTTCTCGGTTTGAATTGATTTTGCTAAACGTTTGACATTTTGTGATATTGTTAGAATATTTTTGAAGAAATATTTCAGCATTTTGATTTATCTCTTGTGGAAAGAATAAATTTTGTTAACTTTTAACGTTAACCGTGTTTATTCCAGCCTTTGTATTCAGTATGTCTATATCCAAAACCAAGTGGTAGTAAAATTAAACGAAAAATCGCTGACGAACATAGAATATTCCAAGTAAAATGGAAATTAGAATATTTTTGCTGTGAAATAAAAGATAAAATAATCTGCTTGATATGTAATAATACTATTAATGTACCAAAGTTATATAATATTAAACGTCATTACGACAACACAAATCGAAATATAACAATTACGAAGATTAATGAAGAGAACAAAAGTTGAAAGAGCTCAAGTTAGGAGTGAAAAAAGCAACAGTCCATGTTTAGTAAAGTATTGCAAGAAAGTGAAGCGGCGTGGTACATGCAAGCTACGTCTTGT